TTTATGGTCTCTGTATTGATAATGTTTGCTTTAATTTTTATTGGATTTTTTACTATTACTTCAACAGCAGAACGTCGTCAGGATCAGAAAGAATGCTAATACACCAGCACCTGATGGTAGCGTTGTTCATTGCGCAGTTTGTTTGTTTGCTCACCAATTTCATATCTTTTCACAAGGTAATGATGATAAAAACTTATACAGCGATAGATTTTGATGTGATCTACATGTTGAGAAAGTCTCGAACAAGTTTTTTTTTTATATCTACTTCATCATTCATTCGAATAAGGTTAAAGCGGGGGAGTCGTCACCTGCGCATGCGTCAGATGGCCATAGCGTGTCATTGTTTACAAACCCATGAGCCTTTGCGTTTTTAGCGTGTGTTGTTATCATCACTTTGGACTCAATTCCCGGGCTTGCGCGGTGACGACCCACATACCCTTTAAAGTAACAGAATATACACTAAATATTGAAATTTAAAAAAAAGTCCAATAACAAACATTCTACAACATATTAACGACTAAAATACACATTAAAATAATGTTAAAACCATTAAGTAGACAATACATGGACCTCAAGAAATACAGCAAAGTGCTTGAAAAGTCATAATCGAATAGTACTTGTTTTCTACATCAGAATTTGTACCATTTTAACAATAATAAGAAAATTAAAAAAGTAAACATATTAATAGGACCATATTAATATATATATACTAGTTTACTAGTTTACTAGTATATATTTACTAGTTTAGCACTCACTGCATACTTACATATATAATACACGTGACTTTGTAGGTTATGTGTAAGGTATCAGCTATGGTGCTGCACTATGCGTGGACAGCCGTATTTTGTTGGATGCTGATAGAGGGGATACAGCTTTATCGTCAAATTGTAACAGTTTATGGAAGTGAAAAAAGTTGGATGAAGTATTATTACTTCATTGGATGGGGTAAGTCAAATATCGTATTGTATGTTATAAATGTAACCATAATTACAAGATTTGTTAGACATGTTTGTTATTAATGTGTCAATTCACTGAAATAGTTATTGTTATGTAATGCAGGATTACCTATATGTATAGTGGGCGTGACTGGATCAATTAACTGGCAGGATTATGGTGCTGGAAATAAGTAAGTATAATTTATAATAGTTCTCACGGTTACAAATTAATATACAACGGCCAAGTATTTAACAGCGCGAGCAGCCAATCAGCGACCGCGTTGCAGCTGGTGATGATTTCTTGCATTGATGAGAGACAGGGTATGGTGTTGCTGGCCATAATTTTCAGTACGTGCTGATGAAGTTATTTCATGAATTTTAGCTGTACAGCTGGGGTCCTGACATCTGAGTGCTCAGTGTCAACAAATGGTAGGAATTAAAGAATGATTTGTTGATGGGAAATTATGTTAAAGCGGAGGAGTCGTCACTTGCGCATGCGTCAGATGGCCATAGCGTGTCATTGTTTACAAATAAGCGTCTACCCATGAGCCTTTGCGTTTTTAGCGTGTGTTGTTATCGTCGCTTGCTCAGGTGACGACCCTTCCTTAACCTTGCAGTACATTAAAGCAGCCAGTGTATAAGTATATAACACCACGTGACTAGTTGCGTCGAGCATGTACACACACATGTCACATGGTAATTAAAGCATGGTACATGTATTGCATTTTACTTACATTAATTTATATTTTATTGATTTTGTTGCATCAGCTGTTGGCTATCCGCTACAAGTGGCCTCATTTGGATCTTTGTTGCAACTGTTCTAGTTATAGTACTAGTGAGTATGACATATATTACGGAACGTTTACTCAATGATCAGATGGACACGATTATGTGTTACCGGCAATCATCCTGATATAGAAAATAGTATATTCTAAAAATACCTACAACATGTAAAACATATTGTAGTGTCGTTTAAAATGTGTGAATAGAACACTTTTATCATTTCATAATATTGTTTTACTGTTTGATCAGGTTAACAGTATTATATTAATACGTGTTGTTATTGTGGTCTACATCGCGTCTAGTAACAAGGATCATGGGAAAAACAATGTAAAGTGAGTGATCGCCAGCTTAATATATAATAAATACTTGATATATGTTGTCTAATTGATGGATGGCGGTTGATACGAGTGTACTAGTAATGCTGCTAAGTTCAAAGCACTGCAATTTGTTTGAATTAAAATATCATTAGATAATATTTTATGTCGATTATAATTGTACCACAATATGTATTTCTCAATGACAAAATATTTGATTTCTGAAAACATACGTAATTACCATTATTTGTTTATAGTCTGATGATCTGTTTATTTTATTTTATTTTATTTTATTTTATTGTTATTTATAAATTGTTATTTATTTTACTAGGGCTACTGTGCGAAGTGCTCTGATGTTGTTACCTCTTCTTGGATTAACATGGTTGTTCGGAATATTTGCTGTTAACAATGATACTATTATTTTTCTGTACTTGTTTGCAATTTGCAATTCCTTACAGGTAACTGAACTCATCTTTTTCTAAATCGCACTGACGTAGCAATGAGTATTTGTTCTGTATGGAATTTGTCACGGTTGAACCCTCGTTCAGTTCTTATTTATCTGACCATCACCTTAGGAATAAATGTGTAATAATGTCCCCAGTGCTAATTGCTATATTGCTATATTGTTACCAACATCGATGCAGTAGATGCAATGTGTAGTCGTGTACTATTCAAAATAATCATTTGTACTACATCTGTTTTATTTCATAGGGGGTGTTCGTTGTTGTGCTCCACATATTATTGAACAGTGAGGTGAGGTTTCGAAATCATTATCTGTTCGTCTTACTATTGAAATAACTCAATCAGTGACAACATGCAATAAACATACCAACCAATTATTTTCAGGTACGTAGCGCAGTAAAACGAAAACAGGATATACGTGCAGTGGAAAAGGGTACATTGATGATAGGAGCATCGGTAAGATAATTGTTATGCATTACATAGAGATCTCTAGATTGATTTTTATACAACTGTGAAAATTCCAATTGTCATAACTAATATAAGATATCTCAAAAACTGTACTAATACTGAATTGAATTCCACATACCTTTTATTTGGTATATTACATCATGTTTTAGTCGATCGTATAATGTACACCGGACTACTAACCGATTAAGACGATTACGTAATTTTGACCTAAATTACAAGTGGGCAATCAACAACTTGTTAATGTTACTATATTTTTTCTACTTGGAGTTTTAACTCAAAATTAGACAAAATAAACTACGTATAGAGTTATGGAGAGAGTTGTAATCCAATATTGGTCAAAGGCAAAACAATATTTC